AATATTGGCATTGCTACGTAAGCTTTCAAATTAACATTTAGTAGTCAGGTCCTACTTTTAGTAGTCAAACTGTAATCATAAATATTTTTTGGTGCAAATTACGTGAGGTTTAAAATTGAATAATTGATAAATAATGAATTTTGTTTTTATAATAAATTAGTGTGATAAGTTTTTCACTACTATCATTGGCTTTGAGGTCGGTGGCATTTCGTCTCGCTCTCTTCCCTTTCTTTTCTCCTTTTTGGAGGTTTTTGTGTTTCTTGTGGCTTGTATGCATAGAAAATGACTATGAGAAGAAAACTCGATATTTGTCGGAGATTTCTGATAACAGTGCTTCTTTTGATCACGACTGCAATATCATTATGGAGTGGTGCTGTATTTTTTCTCTTTATGAGTGTTATATTTCATGTCGGTTAAATTTGGGTTCTCTGTGATTGGGGAGTTGTATCGTATTTCTAGTGAGTTTGTAACTATATATGAAGCTCTTGTGCTTTTTTTTTTTTTTTTAAAGTGTGTAACCTCTTTGATTATATGTTTAGCATGTCTGCCCTATGTGTGTTCTTGATCGTTTTTAATAAATTTTTGTTTGATCTAAAGAACGTGTTAGAACTTTTTTTTTATTTTTTTTATTTTTTAATATTACTTGTAGCAATGATACGAGGGTTCATAGTGGAAAAAAAAAAAATTCCATCACAGGTATTGCAACTCTTTTCTCTATATCTCTCGAACCTAAGAAGAGTTCCATGATTTTTAGGGTGACTACATTGTAGGGCCATTTGACATTTCGGGAGCCTTATGTGAATTTTATAAAGTGACCCTTCTTAAGGAGACTTTCAAGCAAATATTTATTTTGAACAATGTATTCATGCAAAATTCAAGAATGAAAATTCCAACTTAATGAATGCCAACATCTCGCTCCAACTATTGAATAATCTCACTAGTTGGGATTTTTCTTTCCTTCAACTGCCCTAAAATTAGATTTTGGTTGCATCCGTGTAAAAAACAAGAGCGTGCAGGAGAAAAGAGAGAGGTACGGAAAGACACTTGTTTTTGTGGGAGGAAGTAACATACAAATTAATTTATTTACCTTTTACTTTTAATTGTTAGAGAAAATTGAAAAATTAATATAATAATTACAGCCTCCACTTAATTTATTTTGTGAAATGTATTGACTGAAAAATAAAAAAATCAAATTTATCACATGAAATGTAACATCCCACATCGTCCAGGGGAGTGGATCATCTATGCCTTATATGTATATGTCCACCTCTTCCTAGCACGAGGCCTTTTGGGGACTCACTGGCTTCGGGTTTCATTGGAATTCCGAAGTTAAGTGACTTCGTGTGAGAGCAATTCCAGGATAGGTGACCCACTAGGAAGTTCTTGTGTGAGTTCCTAGAAACAAAACCGTGAGGACGTGGTCGGGGCCCAAAGCGGACAATATCGTGCTACGGTGGAGTCGAGCCCAGGATGTGGTGGGGGCCCGGGTCGGGATGTGACAATTTGGTATCAGAGCCAATCTTTGGGCGGAAGTGTGCCTAGAAACAAAACCGTGAGGACGTGGTCAGGGCCCAAAGCGGACAATATCGTGCTACGGTGGAGTCGAGCCTAGGATGTGGTGGGGGTCCGGGTCGGGATGTGACAATTTGGTATCAGAGCCAATCTTTGGGCGGAAGTGTGCCGACAAGGACATCAGGCCCCTAAGGGGAGTGGATTGTAACATCCCACATCGCCCAGGGGAATGGATCCTCCCTGCCTTATATGTATATGCCCATCTCTTCCTAGCACGAGGCCTTTTGGGGACTCACTAACTTCGGGTTCCATCGGAACTCCGAAGTTAAGCGAGTTCGTGCGAGAGCAATCCTAGGATGAGTGACCAACTGGGAAGTTTTCGTGTGAGTTCCCATAAACAAACCCGTGAGGGGACCCAAAGCAGACAATATCGTGCTATGACGGAGTTGAGTCCGAGATGTGATGGGGGCCCGGGGTGGGATGCGACATGAAAATTGAAAACTTTTTATTAGAAAATATATATTTTTAGTATATATAGAAGGTTGAAAATTTTTATGGGCCTCTCAGAAATGGAGCCCTATGCCGATAAACCTTTTGCACGCCATTGCTCCAACCATTACTATATAATATACTCTTTTTAATAGAAATAATTAGGGCTACCAATACGGGTAGGTTTGATTCGCTCTCTAATAAAAATGTTGTACAATGTGGTTTCTTTTGACATTTTTCATTTGGGGAAAGAGGGAAGGAATTTGATGCTCCATAGTCAATAACGTGACCTGTGGTGGATGATGACATTTCTACCTCCTTAGGGTTTACGTTAGCATATGTCTTTGCATAACGCACAAGAAAACCTAATATTCTTTTACTTTTGGCAAAGACTTTTTATATTAGCATCCTCTAAAATATTGAATGCATTCCACATTAAAATTTAATATTAAATAACTTATTTAAACTACTATGCAATGATAATTTTGACCGTATTAGATTTAAAAAAAAATCTATATACACTCAATTCACTTTTAACGTATTATTTATCTTCTTCAATTATCAAAACTCCTCCAACCCTTTATTGTTGAACAAAACCCTAACCAATGAAACTACAAACATGTTGATTGAGAAAAATTATTTTTGACGAATGAAACAAGAAATCGATATTTCAGAAGTTTCACATGAGATAAGAATTCATATTTTTTTTATTGTTTTAGTGATTTTGATGATATCGATAATTATTTAATCTTGCTTTTGATGCGTTATTCAAGTTTCTATATTCGTATTCACCTTTTAGGGATCACATGGATTACATGAAGAATTAAACATCTAAAATTACCACCAAATATAAAAAACAGATGACATGAGTTTTAACTTTTAATGGTGGAATTAAAAACAACCCACATATGCTTTAAATCTCAAGCTGCATCTTTTGTCAAAATTCTAGTCGGCATTTTTTGTCCAAATTAAAAGCTTTATAAGATTTGAGAAATGTGAGGTGTATAGAAAAAATGGGGTGCATGTAGAAAATGTAAGATGTATATTAAGAATGGGTGTATTAAGATAATTTTTAATTGAAAAAGCAAATATGTGATGTATTAAATATGTAAGCTTTATTCAATAATTTATGGAATGTTAATATAATAAGCCTTTTGGCAAACCATGTTAATATTTTATTATTCTTTTAATAAATCTTCCTGGGCATGTGACCTTAGGCTTAAAGGAGATTAGTCATTATCCAACCAACTAATAAAAAAAAGGATTAAAAAAGAAGATAAAAAGTTTGAAAAAGTCATTTTTTCTGTCTTTTTCAATAAAAGACAAGTTGATGAGTTCGTCACATTAATTTATTATTTAAAGGTTAAAAAAATTTACAGATGCATTTTAATCTCTTTCAAATCATCATTATTTGATTCACTAATGCAAAAAATCAAATTTAAAAAATACCATGTTAAATACAAATAGAAAATTCGGCTCAATTACTAGATGACTACTCTGTTGTATTGAAAAAGTCATTGATAGAGTGGAGAAGGATCACCACTTTCCCCACAAAAGGGAGCCCACTGGGGCTTACTGTCACTGACAACTGACCTCTAAAAGAAAGAGGAAGGCACAAGGCAGAGAAGAGATCAAGGATGAAGGAACCAATGTGAATAAATCGTTTTCTCATTTTCTCCTGATATTTTGATGAAATTGGGATCCGGTGATCCAACTGGCTTGACTACCGTCGCTAGTTTTCTGTATAAAATATGCATCCCCACTAGGCGAAAGTGACATGTCGCCAAACCCTTGTCAGATAGGCTACGTGAAAGCCACAACTCATAGATAGGGCTCTTTTAGCATCAATGTTTCTAGGGTTTTCATTAGGTTTTTCATTTCCTTGCCGTATGGATGCGTTTTGCATACAATCGCATGTTTATCTTTTATTATGTGTCACGTAATAATATATAATCATGTGTTGTATTTGTACACCACAAGATAGACATATAAATAATTATATACAATTGATTTGTATACAAGATCAAAGTCGGTTTATTGATTTTTGAGGCTCAGAGCAAACGCCAAATTAAGCGTCCTAGTATGTCTTTTGTTATAAAAAAAAATTGTTTTATTATTAATATGTTTACATACTCATTTTTTCTTCTTTCATACAACGATATTGGAACATTAGTGATTGAAATTGAAACATCTCCATTACAAGTAAAGAAAAAAACACTAGATCGTAGTAGCTACACATGGGAGGCTCAACAACGTTGAATTTGTCCGCATATGAAATCTAGAAGTTGGAATTCTAAATTTCATCTAAAGTTTAAGGAAAACTAATGAAAAAGGCTTGAAAACTTTGAGTTTTAATGATAATGACAAACTAAAGGGTAAAGTGAATAGTACTAGGATTGACTTTTTAGTGTAACAATGTGGTTTTTCGTTAAAGTGAACAGTACCGGGTGCTTTTCGTTAAAGTTCCCTAAAGTTTATGCACGTGTTCTTAATTTATTTTTACATGGACACAAGAAATCCGATTAACCACGGTCATATGGATTAATTTAATATGATTTAACGAAATCCAACATTTTGCTAACTGTGAATGTTAATATAATTATTTATGCTCATATGTCCCGCCAAATTTCCGCATATGTATACTACAATAGTCCACAACTCAACATTATCAACTCATAGAAATTTGCCACATGTACATTTTTTAGGAAAAATAAAAAGAAAACTAATGAAAATGACTTGAAAACTTTGAGTTTTAACAACAAAAACAAAATAAAGGGTAAAGTGAATAGTACCATGATTGACTTTTTAGTGTAAAAATATTGTTTTTTGTTAAAGTGAACAGTATCGGGAGTTTTTCGTTAAAGTCCCCAAAAATAAATTATCTTTTGTAGTTGGAGTATTCCAATTGTTGTGATGCATAGTTGACATGTAGCATGAAATACACACAATAAACTCCTCAAATCATGGACGGAAAAAAATACCAAATTTCCCAAACCAAACCAAAAAATTTCCGAAACCAAACCGAAAATCCCGAAACGTATGGTACCCAATACCGAACCAAACCGAAATTTTCGGTATGGGAATCGGTTTCAAGTCTTCGTTTTTTCGGTATTTCCAAACCAAACTGAAATAAAAAAAAAATATTATTTAATTTTTAAATATATATTTGAAATTGTAACAGCCGTTGGATTCGGTTGAGATTTAATCTCAACCGTTGAATAGAAATCAAACCCTACACTTTACACTATGTCTCTCCCGTCTCTCTCGACACTCAGTTCACTCACTCTTTCTTGCGGCTCTCCTCAGACTCAAACCCTCACCTCACCACCCTTGTCGCCAATTTTTCTGTCCTTTTTCGAATCCGGCCACATAAGTGACTCACTTAAGTCACATCTCTCTCAACTATCACTTCTCTGATCTCTCTCTCAGTCTCTCTCGACTTCTCGTCCCACACAGAGTCACAATGGAGGATTCTTCCTTCACAAATCACGACCACCAGCGTCATTCTCCTTCTCAGTCTCTCTCGATTCTAGTCATCCAGTGCACTGTGCAATTCTCCACCAAATCAGGTAAAGTTCACAAGCTAATTTAGGGTTTGAATTTTAATTTAGGGTTAGAATTCTAGATTAGGGTTTGTGAAATTTAGCACTTGGAAGATAGAGTATACTGCATATTGAGGGTTTAGGGGTTGAATTGGTGGTTGGAATTCGAGATTAGGGTTTCTCTTCTGTCACAGACTCACAATTGAAGCATAAGTTTGTTACGGGTTGATAGTTCATAGTTCATAGTTGTAGCAATAATTGCAGCTACTAAAACGAATTTCGAGAGTTGGTGAAAAATGACGAATGGAGTTCAGAATTAACCGTGGGATTTTGGGATGTTTGTAATGCAGCACCATAAATGTATTTACAGTTTGCATTTGGTTAAAAGCGAGAAAGGAGGAAGCACGCAAGCAAGAAATTGAGGTATTGTGGCAATACAGTCAATGTGTTAATTTGCATTTGCATTTGTATGCTAATGGAGTTGAACAAATAGGACTTGACTGATGTGCAATTTGAATATTGCTATCATTTTTTTGAACTCAACATTTACCTGCATTATTATTGACAACGAAACGTGAGGACCTTTTCTTATATCTGTTATGCTCTTTCTCTCTCTCTCTCTCTCTCTCTCTCTCTCTCTCTTTTCATTTTGAATCTGATATGATGCATATGATTGTAGCTAGTGTTGGGCATTGGCCATGGTTGCTTTCCTTGTTATGTTTTTATGCTAACAATTATCTACAAAAAGTTTGTTTCCTTTTTTTTTCGTAAGAATAGTTGCGAAAAACTATTGCAACATGTGTACTTATTAATGAGATAGTGATTATTATGTTGAATGTTTCTGGATGAAGGTTACCATTTTATGATTTTATCCCACTATATTATGAATGTGACATTACATATTAGAACAGCCTGCAATATATGTTGAAGAATATAAAAATTACAAGATAGGCTGGAGCAACAGAGGAGCTCTAGTATTATGTTGATCAATGATCATTGTATCATGATTCATGCCTTTTTGAATGAAGAATGATCAACATTTTAAATATGTTGCCATAATCGAATTGACTGTAACTTCTTTGGTCATGTTGGTTATATGATATTGAATGTCTTTGGTCCTCTCTACTTTAATTTTTGATGTTCCTACATGATTTTTATAGGTTGTCCAGCGTTTTCAAGAACTTTTTACCCAAACGAAGTACAAAGAAGCTACTGAGCTTGCTGCGGATACTGTTGCTAAATTTCGGGTTCCCATTTTGCTTATGTATTTGTACATGTTTCTTTCTTTAAGCAGTATTTCTCTCTTCAATTTTTAGTACAATAGCCCAAAAGTCCAAAACTATTTTGGGATTTCCAATTGTCCCGAAACTATTTCGGGATTCCCGAAAATTTGGTTTGGGATCAATATTGAATTTGGGATTCCCGAAAACTTCGGTTTGGGAATCAGGACTTGCATTTCAATTCGGTATTCCATACCGAACCAGCCCTAAATCATATTAGTCGACATAAAATCTTCCATTTATATGAGGGTAAAAATACCTAGATTCAAGTGCTAATAGCATATGCTTCATCAATTGTCACATGATCGTTTTACTTTCAGGATCCAAAGTTACAAAGTAAAAATTCCTAGCGGTCTAGACAGAAGAATAACAAGGAAAAATCCTTTGTTGTCGGCTCTTGCCTTTGATCTTGGTGTAGAATGTCGCTATGAATCATTGTAGTTGTCATTTGGCCCATGCACGCGAGAGATATTTTAGTATAATAGGTGATACAACATGTGTTATTATATAAATGGTGGGATATGTGTGTTAAAAAAATTAATAACTTAAAAAATAAAATTTTCCACCCCTTATACAAAAAAATACATGATGTACCACCCGTATTTCGGTCACAATGAAAATTTTCCCCATGCACTCAACCAACATAACATTTGGGCTCTAACTATAGTATTTGATATGGGTGTGGAGCGACAAGGTGCATCGGATTGCGTTGAGTTCAAATTTAGCCAGTATAAAATTATGAGTTTAGCCAATACGACACTATGACGCCCTTTGGGTTTGTCCTTTTAGTTTTTTTTTTTTTTTTAATAAGAGCTAGAAACTCATTGTTGGATAACAATTCAGAAAATAAATAAAATAACAAAAATTGAAATACTAATTCTTTATTAACGAAATATACTTGCAATACAGAATGATATTACAGAAATAAATACAGGAATTTAAATTTAAACTAACTTGATTGAATCACAAATAGAGGCTAGCGCAAAAGCTATGTCAATTGAACAGTATTTCCGTCTCACTCTTGTGCTTGTGGTTCTGTGACGTCTGTTCGACCAGGATACAAGTATCTAATTTTACAACCCGTACTGAATTATAGAATTCTGACGAATTGCTTTGAGTGTTTACTCTCTGTAAGGTTTTGTATGGGAGAGATGGGAAAAAGAAAGAGATGATCTACGACGGAACCGAGACTCCAATTATATAAGCTTTTTCATATCTCTTCAAATACTTTTTGAATATATCTGAAGCTACACAACTCTTTCCAAAAAGTTCTATATATTAATCAAAATATTTTTAATCAAAAACTTAATTCAAAATTAAAATGAATGATCTGATTAATTTTAATTCTTAGACACCAAATATAGTAAAAGGGATGGAGCTCTTTGATTTGCAGAATTTACGTTACTCGTTGCTTTGGGCTCATGGCGGTGGTTAGGTAATGCGGTCAGACACATGGGTATCATATTCCCTGCCCCGGTATGACTTGAGATGTCTGTGAAGTCTCCACTCATCAACACACACACAAAGCTTTTAATGCCGTACAAAACTCACTATTATAATTCTAGTTTGACCCCTACTAAAAGCCCTTTTAACCTTCCTTCTTCCGGATAATTTTTAGTTGTGACGGAAGCCTGGATGATACACATGATGAAAGTTTTTAATTTTTAAGTTATTAACCTTTTAACATACATATCTTATCATTTGTATGAAAACATATGGTTTACCACCTTACGTGACGATCATACCGAAAAATCTCTCCCTTCTTCCTAACCCAGACTATCTCTTTCTTCTTCCTCTGATGAATATTCTCGACACACCGAATTTCGGGTCCATAGTTTTCTTCTGCCGCCCTAAAGGATAACCCAATTCGCTAGAATTTTTGGTACATTGGGTTGAAAAATATAAACACATTAATTAATAATACGTAATAAAAAAAATTATCAATAACCACGTCTTATAATTTATAAAACTTGTTTTAAATAAGGGGTGTGATATCCACACATTATTTTTTACTTCTCTCATACATTTTTAGTTTTCGATTGTCGGATCGAATGAATTGTAGAAGATCAACATACAAAAATTAATAAGGATATGTGAGAAATAAAAAAAAGATATGGATAGCACACCTCTTAAATAATTAGCCTGCCTCGTACTATTTTTTTCTAAAGAGAACCCAATTTTGTCAGTGGTCCAGGTACTTCCGGAACTGGTGAGGTGGACAAAACCCCACGTTACGACTCTAAAACCACAGCCTTAACTATATATCCAATATCCTCAATAAATCCTTCCCAGCTAAATTAAATGAATAATTGCCATACGAAATCTCAAACCTCATATCGCGAGCCAGTAAACGAAAACCACTTCGTGACTTTAAAATATCATATCGCAATCATCACCCGTCTCACCGTATCACGTGATACACAATGAATTTAAACCGTATTAAGTGTCCCAGTGGTATGTTTCGTAATATTTCGCAAAATCTGGGGTCGAACTTTTGTGGGACCGTCCCAGAGAGCTTGTCGTTTGTTAAGGGGATCTGATGGTGGTGAATTTCGCTTTCCAAGTTCAGTTCCCATCCTTTTCAGGTTCGCATCAGGTTAATTTCAGCCGTTTATATTTTCAGAAAAGTCAAATGTCTACCTTATTTGATACATCCAGCGGCATGACGTACGGGTGCACAATTGTCTGCGATGTACGGGATAACTGCTCTAGGTCTTGTTCAACTCTTCAGCTGAAGTACAGTGTCAGCTACAGATTCCGCTCCGGTGGACTCGACAAACGTAGCCGGCCAAGTGGGGCCCACCTCCATTTGCCCTACGCATAAGCGACTGTGCAGATCATAGAACCCTATCACAGGCTACGATAACCTATTGCTTGATAAGTAGAGGATGGATGATAAGCACAAGTACTTATCATCTTGTTTATCTGTCGCCCGGCCTCCTATAAAATCACCCATTTCCGTAAGTTTAACGTCCTCGTTTCTCTCTGAAAAATATAAATACAAAAATTTTCTGGAGAGAGGAGAGTTTACTATAAGTTTCTAGAGAGAGAAAGCTTTCTCCGAGCTCTGTCTCTCTCTCTCTCTCTCTCTCTCTCTCTCTCTTTTTCTTCTTCTTCTGGATGTGTGGCTGTTTGTTCTGATTTGGTTTTCTCAAGGTGCGAGTTTCTCTCTCCTGAAATCTCTAACTTCTAATTTTTCTCTTGAAGTTTTTATTTTTATTTATTTTTTGTTTTGGGTTGATATTTTTTTGGGGGTTTTCGAATTTTCGAAACCTTTTTCTTTTGCATCTTCGATTCCCACATGGGTCTTAAGAAAGCTGCTTTCTTTGCCTCTTTGATCCCCAAAAAAGTTCAAAAAATTGTCCTTTTTTTCTAAATTTTACTTAAAATATGAGTGAAAATATATGAAATTATTGGCAAAACTGGTGTTTTAGCTTTGTGATCTAGTTCTGGGTATTTTCCTTTTGAATTTAATTTTTTATTTTGTAATTTATTTTGATTTTTGAGCTGTCTAAGTTGACCCCTTTCATATTTATGTGGTTTTTTTTAATAATATTTTTTATTTTTGCAGATCTGGTTATATTGTTGGTGATATTTCTGGTTCTGGAATCAAAGAGGGGGCGGTCAAGATGTCTTCTCTGAGTAGGGAGCTGGTGTTCCTGATCTTGCAGTTTCTCGATGAGGAAAAATTCAAAGAGACCGTTCACAAGTAGGGCTGACTTCTGTAATTTTAAATTAATTTTTTTAATTAATGCTTTTTTGTTGGCATAATTGCTGATTATGTACTGGTATACTGCGTCATTAATTGCTTTTGTGATGTAAATACAAAATAGGCTGGAGCAGGAATCTGGGTTTTTCTTCAATATGAAATATTTTGAGGATGAGGTGCATAATGGCAATTGGGATGAAGTTGAGAAATACCTCTCCGGCTTCACTAAAGTGGACGATAACCGCTACTCCATGAAAATCTTTTTCGAGATACGGAAGCAGAAGTATCTCGAGGCACTGGACAAGTAAGCTTACAATGTTTTGATGTCATTTCATTGGTAACTTTCGTGGGTTGAATTTTATGATCGGTATTGAGGAATTATATGGTTGAATTGCATGTAATGTGACTGGACTTTGCAGGCATGATCGCTCCAAAGCCGTGGATATTCTAGTAAAGGATTTAAAGGTTTTTGCCACATTCAATGAAGAACTTTTCAAGGAAATCACTCAGCTCTTGACATTGGAGAACTTTAGGTATGAGAATTCCGTTATATGAAGGTCTCTTTAGAAAACAGTTATGGCAAAGTTACTGAAAAATGGTCTCTTGCATTATTAGGGAGAATGAACAACTATCCAAGTATGGAGATACAAAGTCTGCCAGGGCAATCATGTTGGTTGAACTTAAGAAACTGATTGAAGCAAATCCCTTATTCCGTGATAAATTGCAGTTTCCAAACCTTAAGAATTCGAGGCTACGGACTCTCATTAACCAAAGGTACTTACTCAGAAACCACAACTTCAGTTATATAAGATTAGCTTTTGCACTTCTTTGGGACTTTTGGATATTGTTGCAAATACTGGTCTTGCTTTAATGTTTCCATGTATGTATGGATTCATTGGGACTTTTGGATATTGTTGCAAATACTGGTCTTGCTTTAATGTTTCCATGTATGGAATGAGTGCTTTTGTCTCCCATTGCATTCAGAATGAGAATTTCATCAAGTTGATAGCAGTAGCTAATGAGTCTATTGTTTAAGTACGTCATCTGTGTGGCCAATCAAAAAGTTGGTTATGGCTTGAATTCTGTGGAAACAAAAAGAAGTCATTAGTATTCTTGCAATGCCTAAAAATGTGCCTGAATCTTAATTTAGCATATGGTTCGTTACTACATATAGCACGGGCTACATCACTGCATGATTCCAGCATCTGGTGTCAGGATTCTTTTGTATTTTTGTTGATGAACGGTGTCAGAAGTTTCCACACACCAGTAACTATTATTTGTGCAAATTGTGGCCTTTCTGGTTCTTTTGAGAGAGAACTAATTTTCTTTCTGTAAATTCAAGCTTAAATTGGCAGCATCAACTTTGTAAGAACCCAAGACCAAATCCTGATATAAAAACACTTTTTGTGGATCACTCATGTGGACAACCAAACGGTGCACGGGCACCATCGCCAGCAAACAACCCACTGCTAGGGTCCTTGCCAAAAGCTGGAGGGTTTCCTCAAATAGGTGCACATG